ACCTGGTTTGAATATGACAAGAAGATTTCCGTCCATCACATGCCTTGTATTAATACGCGATGTTTGTGGCGTGCTGTTGATTCCTCGGAGCCTTGGAAGGGTGTAATTGACCTTTAACCTATTCTAATCAGTGGACAGATTCCTGAAAAAAGTAAAAATAGTCATAGGATATTCATTTTATTGAATAAATTAAACAAATGTCTTCTACAGATAGCCAGCTTTGCCATTAATAATTCAATCTAATTATTGTTAAAACTTCAAAAGTGCGTATCCACCATTATATGTCGATAGTAGAAATATTGTGCTGCTGTCGTAAGGTGCCGACCGTCTGAGTGGGAGGGCTGCAGAAAATGTGTGTTCGTGTTTTCAGTGCTAATGAGAAACTAACAGAAGATCCATGATCGAAACTAACAGAAGATTCATGATCGACAACATTTTAAAAAAAAAACCATGAATTGTTCCTTGCGCTTCTCCAGTTTATTACATATTCAGCACTGTTGCATCTGTGGTCTCATAGACACATTAGAAAATTACCGTTAGAAAATTCAAAAAAATGTTCGTACAAGCAAAACAAATATAAAAAATTATTAACTCACTGAAATGTAATGTGAATGCAAAACAAACACATTACGTTGGATCTTCTAATAATTTTTTTTGCCAGTGTAAAAGAAGAAATTTTTAAAATAGTTTACATGAAACCTTCAGAGCAACAACCGCTCATAACGTTTGTTGGACAGTATCAATTAATAATATTCAATTAAATTTTATTGAAAAACAATCTGCTCATTAAATTCTTTAAACAAAATAAAAAACGTATAAATTGAAAAAATGGACTACAATTGAAAATATTCGTTGTTGTTGCTACTGCTGCTGCTATTGTTGTTGTTGTTGATGATGATGATACTGTTGTTGTTGATGATGATGATACTGTTGTTGTTGATGATGATAATATTGTTGTTGTTGTTGATGATGATATTGTTGTTGTTGTTGATGATGATGATACTGTTGTTGTTGATGATGATGATACTGTTGTTGTTGATGATGATAATATTGTTGTTGTTGATGATGATGATATTGTTGTTGTTGCTACTGCTGCTGTTGTTGTTGTTGATGATGATGATACTTTTGTTTTTGTTGATGATGATGATATTGTTGTTGTCGTTGCTGCTATTGTTGATGTATAATGGTTGTTGCTACAGTTTCAATGAGGTTGTTTATGATTTTTTTTTATTTTTCTGCAGGAAGTGAAAGATTTAGAGGGTGAATGTGACCTGATCTGAAGCAGGTATTAATGGGAAGGAAGGCTTGAGGTCCCATGTGCATTTTCATCCCTCTCTCGTCTACCTTGATGTACATATTTTTCAAGGATCAACACAAATTCGCAAGTGGTGATCACGCGTTGGCGATAAAACATTTCGTTCAAACCGGAAAAACATGACAATTTGGATTTATAGCGACAAGAAAAATTTTCAAGTTAGTTTATTATGCAAATGGTTTTAACTTGAAAAATAAAAAACAGCGGTTGCCATTTTGAGTACGTATGGAACACCATCTCTTACTACGACCAAAGGTGCATTTTCGTGAACACCTAACTCGTCTTGGGTTTTATTGGACTTATCATTAGCCCAAGTTGAATCTTAGAAATGGAACACGTAGGACCTTCTCTATAAGACTAATATGTATGCGTGTGTGAGCTATGTGCGAGTATGTGTGTGACGCAACATCATTAGTTATAGGACAAGAAAATACAAACAGATGGTAAACTAAGGAAGAAACAACTGCATGATTGTGGAATGAAATAGGAGCACGCAGTGGAAACATTCCTCATGTTCATCATTTAGCCTGGAAGGCCTGCAGCGGTTGGCTCACAGTGTCCATCACAATTCACAATTAGCACACGACATTCATCAGATAATTTACTCTGGACAACATCTTTCTCTGCATCTTCCGTCCACTAATTTAAAACGCAAATTTAGCAAATGGAAACACGAGGTCAGCACACAGGCATCCGTGCATGGGCGTGTGACGCTTTTGTTTTCCAACATTTTGGAAACATCGAATCACTATTCACCAATCTATTTTCACTTAAACACGTTGATGAAACTCATTCGCTTTCTTCAGAATGTTTGTATAATATTAATCTTTCCCTCAATTGATTTGCTGAAAATGTTACTGAATTATGTAATATTATAAAACAATAATAACACATTTTTAAATTGCATTTACATTATTTTAGAGTTCTTTTCGTATGTCATGGTTAAATGTCTGCAGTTGAAAACATCAGTTGAAAATAATCTCCTCTAAACCTTAAAAGTTTAAAAATCAACCAAAAAAAGTAGATGATGTCTAATTGGTATTTTGGATTAGATCCCAAAAATTCAGCCCTGCAGTGTGAGGGGGCAGGAAGCAGACCGCACCCCCCACATTCCAGCATTTCATTCTTCTTCATTCGGTAGTCACCAACAAAAAGCCACGCATCTTTCCGGCCATAAATCATCCCCACAACAAACCAAAACAGCCGTTACAGAGCTTATGCACGAGCAATTTGTTAAATGAAGCGTTGACAACCACAAAAAAACACTAACTCACATTAGAAAATACTCTAACAACAACGATACAACAACAACAACGACACAACAACGACGACAACAAACAAAAATATAAAAAGTAACATAATAGCAGCAGCAACAATACGAGCAACAAAAATTACAGACAACAGCGTCAAATTCATCGTCTTTAAAATGCACTAGAATGTTTTATGAGATAAAAATTTGCGAAATTGTAACAGTTTTATTGTTATCAGTGCATTGACATATAGATGCAGTAAATGTATAATATATACAATATGCTGTAATGTTTAATGCCGCAGTCCTTGGAAGCTTCTGTTAACCAAGATAAAAGTTATCATCGTTCAGAAGTGTATGCACTTGCTTCATCTGCTGATATGAATTCAAACTTCATAAATAAAATTACCACACAAAATTGAAGTTTTATTTAAAAAAAACCAACTCCCGTTCCTCGTTGAAATGGCACTTGGATGAGTTCGTTTGTTTCAAAGTTTGAAAATGTTAATCCGAATCTAACGGACAATAACTTTCGGCACCAGCTATTCAATATGTTTCATTCCGAATAGAGCCATTAAACATGCAGCTTAGGAGAGCTTATTAAAATGCAAATAAAAATCAGATGATGGCATTAATGCACTGAACAACATGCAACCGCCCATTTCAATCAACGTGCTGATGGCATGAAACAAACATTATACTGCTAATAATAATATATGTAGTTGTGTGTGTGTGTGTGTGTGTGTGTGTGGGTGGGTGGGTGAGTGGGCTGGTGGATGGTTGTGTGGGTGTGTATTAAATTACTTCGTTGGCATTAATCATTGTTAACATTTTGATGTTGTTGAAAATGATTTTTTTAATTATAAAAATAACAAAGTACAATAAAATAGCAGCAATCACAACAACAAAAGCAGCAGCGATAGCAGCAGCAGCGACAGCAGCAACAACAGCGACAACAGCAGCAGCGACAGCAGCGACAACAGCGACACGTAGCACAAGACGAACAGAAGAGAGCGAGCAAAGGAATAATTACAAGGATGTCTTCTCCTTGTTTATAGTTGTGTGATCGATGACTCGCTTCTATATTATTTCGCATTATCACGCCTCGGAATGACGGAAGCAAGATAATGACGTCAGAGCAGCCATCTTGTTATGCACAATCAAGTGATGAGAGAAAAAAGCAAACAAGTGGTGTGAAAGAAAAATGGACAGATGGATGGATGGATGGATGAATGGATGGATGGATGGATGGATGGATGGATGGATGGATGGATGGATGGATGGATGAATGGATGGATGGATGGATGGATGGATGAATGGATGGATGGATGGATGGATGGATGGACGGATGGATGGACGGATGGATGGATGGATAGATGCATTGATGGATGAATAGATGGATTGCGACAAATCGTATTGAGAAACTTCATTTTGAATTACACACATTTTCAGTGCCCTTTTAATTTTGTCTAGAAAGCATTTTTGTGTAACGCATGCTTGTTGATCATTTATTTCTATTTTCAGTTTTTAAAAAAATTTAGATAAAAACAAAAAGAATAAAACCAATATTGGAAAATATCACAAAATATATTTATTATTTATTAAAGTTAGCGCATACAATTAGAACAAAATTTCCAACAGTTGATGTAGTAAGAAAATTGTATGGCCAGCTCATTAATCAGTCTTGTCAATGCACCACAGGATATCAATAAGATAATCAGAGGCAGTAGCGATAGAACTACGTAGCGATAGAACTACGTAGCAATGGCAAAAGTATGCAGTGGTGATGTTATCATGCGAGGATGAATTAACTTCGAAGGCGGTGACTATATAACTGAGTCAGTTGCTACAAGTTAACAGCAATTGGGTAGGATGCAAGAATATGTTAATGAAGTTTGGGAAGTTGATGAGGTTAAAAAAGTTTCAAAAATAGCTTTGAAATATAAAATGTTTTAAGCAGAATCATAAAAAAGCTAAACAATCAGCAGATAATTTTAAATGATAGAAAAAATTTTCATACATCTACCTTGACTTTGCAAATTTTTTTCGTACAAATGACAACAAAAAATTTTTTCGAGTATCAAACTTTAAAATTTTTATCTGTAAGTGCTTAAGTTAAGCTGTACTATTTGAAATGTTCTCAAAAGCGATTTTTGGATAATCATTTATTTTATTGTTCAGAAAAGTATGTTTTTTTATTAAAATCTTGAAATATTCAAGAAATGATTCAAATTAGATTTTTACCATGTGAATAAACATTTCTTTACAGGAACATCTAACGAAATGGGTTCAATGTGCAGTTTGACGCGGGAACCAAGTCCTGACGAAGATTGGTTGTGGGAGGAAAACCCAACTTTCGTTTTCCTTAATAACACAGTAAACGTTTCTGACTTTGAAAATATTCTTCTAACAATGAAGTTTTGTAGAAATTCTTCGATGAAATTTGAACTTGCTACTGAAATTTCGTTGATAGGAGCTTACTTGATGCTCATATTGTTCGGAGCTTTCGGCAACGGTTTAGTGTGCTACGTTGTTCTGGCCAATTGCCACATGCGAACTCCCAGGAACCTGCTTATATTGAATCTTGCCACCTCAGATTTGATTCTTTGCGTCTTCACGCAGCCATTCAACTTATTGAAAGCATCAACCAAAACGTGGAGACTAGGAGCGGTCATGTGCAAATTGGTTCCGATGACTGCAGGCACAAACGTTTTCGTATCAACTTTCAGCATAACAGCCATTGCTCTTGATCGCTTTCGTCTAATTGTAAGGCCCACAGATAAGGATCTTCTGTTGCAGCCGATGTGGTCTGCTGCCGTTCTTTTGTGTATTTGGATGTTTTCGCTGCTCCTCGCTAGTCCATCTTTGATTTTAAACATTATCAAACACAATAAAGAAGCTGTACCGTGGCTCTGTTTGAATGAAATATGCCTCGAAGACCCCGAATATGCCAGATTGAAATCTGCTTACTCCGTTGTGTCAATGTTGATTCAATACATTCTGCCTATCATCGTACTATCTGTGGCGCATGCACGCATATGCAACAAGTTACAACATCGAATGAACAATTCAACACAAATGCAACCTTTCAGTGTTTCCCAGCCCAACAATTTTTATAAACAGCAACAAAGACCGTTGCATCGCAACCAATTGATTCAATCCTCCACTCAGCCCATGAACATTAGCAACCAGAAAAACACTTTAATGAAACCTGAGCAGAACGTCCTTTTGTTACAAAAACAACCAAATCAAGTGCAACAATCATCAACAACGAGTGCAACATCAGCAACAACAAAGTTGGGAACAGTTTCAACAAATCAAACTGATTCTAGTTTCAAAAACAACATCTCTATTGCGCCATCACTTGAAGCAACAACGAAACCAAATTTGTCTGGGGAGGTAATTAGCCTAACATTACCGACATCGTCAAAATCGTCAACAGCTACGGCGAAACCCAAATCATTGGAGACATGGAAGGATTCCAACTTGTTGACAGCCACATCAGCGTCCAACACACTTGATGCATCCAGTCATGAAAAAAATCTGTCAGCGGTACAAGGAAATCATTCCGAAGTTTGTCTCTTGCATGATCAATCATTTACACGCTATTGAAATATTATCGACATTTTTTGACCCACTGTTATTTATCATTGTTCTTGAAAATAAGTACAGCGTGCTAGTATGTGTGTGTGTGTGTGTGTGTGTGTGTGTGTGTGTGTGTGTGTGCGTGTGTGTAAGTATGTGTGTGTGTGCGTGTGTATGTGTCCATTAAACCCAAACATTTACTATTTTTAAATTTCAGCAAATT